GACCGCGAAGCCGAGCTGTCCCAGTCTACGGCCGCTCTCCAGCAGAGGTGCGCAGCTCTCGCCGCCGACCTTGCCGCTGCCCAAGCCCGTCAAGGCCCTTTGCTCCAGCGCCTCCACCGCGCCGGTCGTGCCTTCGCCGAGCTGCTAACACCCCCGCCCGATGGTGCTGCGCCGCCACTCACCCTCCATGCTACGCTGTCATCGCTCCGCGGCGCTCCGCCTGGAGCCCCGCGCTAATCTCCGCCATCTGCCTGCCCGTGTGCACGCGTGGCCCCGCGTCCACGGTGTCAGGGCGTGGGGGCGGGGAGTGCCCCGTCCCTGCGCGCCGCGCTGCGGCCAAGCGCCCAACTGGCGGTCTGCCAAGCCGCCTAGCCACGTGTCCGCACGTCGCCTTTCTTGTTGGGGCCTTCTTCGTCACGCGGTCTGACACGTGAGATCTTCACAGTCTGTCCGCCGTCCGTAGCTTCAGACGCAATGCGCCGGGGGAGGGGGTCTGTTGCCCGCCCTCGTATCTTAAGGCTGCACCGCCGCTAATAGTGTTTTGCGGGTTGTCGCACCGCAGTGCGCCTCGCGGACGGACCCTGGTCCGCCTACTTGTCCGGTCTCTCTCTCTCTCTCTCTCTCTCTCTCTCTCTCTCTCTCTCTCTCTCTCTCTTCCCGTCGCTCGCTCTCATCCCCAGTTGGTTCCGGCCAGGCCGGTCAAGGCCAAGCTGGAACAGCCCCGCGATGCCCCTCTGCGCTTCCGCCGCCCCCCCGGGCCAACCGGGGGATCTGGGGGGCGCGCTGCCAGCTGCCCCCCCGGGGCAAGCGAGGCCGAGCGCCCGCGCGTCGAGCCACTTCCTGGCTTGGAACAGGCACCCGGGCTCGAGGCAGGGCCAGCCCTTCCGCCAGCCGCCGCCGGCGCCGAGGCTGCCAGCGCGGCCGCCAGGACCAGCGGGGGCAGCGTTCCCCGAGCGCCTCGGGGATCGAGAGGCGGTCGGTCAGAGAGCGGCTGAGCTCGAGTCTAAGACCAGAGGCGAGGGCTCGCATCCTTCCTCGTGGAACGCGGGGAAGGGGGCTCTCTCTTCTTCTCCGGGGAGGTCGAAGGCCCCGGGGGTGGCGACGTGATGGCGGCTAGCATGGGAGGGAAAGTTCCATTGAAGCAGTCGACCCCCGCCGCGCGCAGCAAGTTCGAGATTTCGGGCGACAAGGGGTGGCAAGGCACGTCGGGCGCAGGGGCGGTCGAGGTGATTTCCCCGAAGCGAAGCAGGCGGAAGCAGCGCGGCGTAGCTGTCCGGGTAAAATCATCGCCAGCCGGATGGTGCGACGGTGGAAGTTGCGTTTTCGGACCCATAGGCCAAGTCGAGATGGTGTGATCATGGCCAGAAAGACCCGGACGCGGGCTCATTGGTCGTGTAATTCCCCACTCCCCAGACGACCTCGATTCTCACGCTTGCCCAGGCCATGAAGAATCTGGGATATCTGGGGGACATCGCCGACGTAGGAAACGCCTTCTGCCAGTCGAACCCGACGCAGATAATTCAAGGGGAGATCTTCGTGGAGCCCTGCGAGGGCATCAAGGTGGAGAGAGGCTCCCTGTAGGATCCGCCTCCTCGTGAACGTGCATGGGTTAGACGACACTCCGCCGGCTTGGAGAGAGACTGTTGTCGGGCTCATGCAAGGAAAAGGGCTTCTCTCGAAGCCTTTCGGAGCCGTGCTGGTGGATAAGGTATGCTGCCGATGGGGCCACCCTATATGTGACCCGTCTGGAAGTTGACGATTTCTTTATTTAGTATCATTCCTGTGAGAGAGCTTGGATGCGACGGGCGCTGGAGCCCCGGTCCAAGTTCGGGAAATATTGCGATTGCCACCAGGGCGCCGTCGAGCACGCGGGCCGCCCCGTCACCTTCGGGGCCCAGAGAACCATTCTAGACTAGGACAAGTAGATGCTAGAGGAGGCGCGCCCCGTCAGCATAGGGCGCGGCGGGCTCGGGCCGAAGAAATCACCCCTCGCCCCCACCGAGTTCAAGTCACTCCGCTTTCTAAGTTACAAGCTAAATTGGGCGGGCCGTGCGACCGGGCCCGAGGCTGCTGGGGGGGCCAGCATTCTAGCCAGTAGATTCAAGACTGCCACCACCAGCGACGTGACCACTGCAAACCGCATGGCGAGGCATCTTCCTTTTCGGATGCCGGAAGGGTCGGAGCCAACGAGGGGCTTGAAGATGAGAGTGGTCCCCTGGAGGACCCAACCCAAGGGGCGTGGGTGGCCCTCGCGACGGATAGGAGCGCGCTGGGTAACTGCGCCGTCAAGGCCTCGGTTCTAGGTTGGAGAAGTTCGAGGCTCCGTCGCAACGCGAGCTCCACCCTGGCGGGAGAAACTGGCGCTTTCGGCGGCAGTGGCGGAAGTAGAGTCCTGGCAGGTTCTCTATAAAGACGCGGTCTTTCACGACGTCGAAGTGTCCGACATGTCCCGAGGGCCCGGGACGTTCACGACCTCGCAGAAGGAATTGTCGTCTGGGTGGTGTGCACGGCCAAGTCCACGTCGTGGGTGCTAAGAGCATCTACGACACCATGCTCGAAGAAGAGAATGCCGGCGCCCGCGACAGGCGCTCGGGTAGCCAGCGTTTGTCAGGCCTTCGAGGGGGCGCGAGGTCACGTGCGAAGGACGCCGCGCGGACGAATGCTGGTGGATGCGCTCACGAAGGACGACGCCAGCAAGGGCATCGGTGTTTTGGCCAGCCTGCTGGCCAACGGTCGACCGGTGCTGATTGATGAAAAATGCCGAGATGGCTTGACGGAAAGTGCATCCCGGAACCAAGGGCCGCTCCCATGCAGCTTCGAGGAGGACGTTCGTCCAATATTCTCGTTCTCGCGTCGTGGACCGAGCTCTTGCCGGGCCAGTTGGTACCAGAGGCTGGCGGCCGGGGCGACTCCTCCTCCTCCTCCTCCTCCTCCTCCCTCATCTCACCTTCCTAACCTTCCCTGTTTTGCCAGGGATGTTGTCTTGTCTTGTACAGGTGTTCTTTCCTGAGCGGGGAAGCTAAACCTAAGAGAAAGTTGACCCGTGTGATGGGTCCCCTGTTTTCGTGATGTAGGTTCAGCTGTTTGATTTTTCTCTATGAGGGCATGTCTCCATAACGTCCAGGACCCGCTATGTTTAGACAGAGTTCCCCTCATCACACGAAGGTGGTACTGTTATTCGCCGGTTTGGCCCAACACAAAAAGCATCCGTTTATCGCGTTGTTGCCACAATTTGGGTCTGACGTTTCACGTGCTCGGGTGTTTTAGTGGTTTGGGATTGAGTGGCACGGGCTGGCCCCCATGAGCTCCCAAGGAGGCCCGCGTAGCCTCTAAAGTACAGTTCCCGGGCGGGTTTCGGAGGCCACGTTGGAAGTGTGGGTCTCCAGGGATACTTCTGGGGTTCGGGGCAGGTCACGCGGGGAGCCCTGGAGTCACAGAGACATCCAGTGACTTGAAGGTTACGGGTTGTAGCGTCGGCGGGCATTTCATAGCCGATGTTCATAATGGGGATGCTGCGGTTGGCGTTTTTTTTTCCGGAATGCACCGGATCCGGCCAAATTTGGAGCCCTAAGGGACCTGAAAACCATGTGTCACCCGCTGTCGGCCCTCCAAACGCCGCCGATGTCGAGCAGTGTCTCCCGCATGCACTCGCAGTTGTCAAAAAAATGGGATAACTCCAAATAGGAACCTGCTGACACTCGTCACAGCGCCGACAGAACGGTGGCGGACTTGGGACGTCTTATGGCGTGGCGTCGCCCGCCCTTTGGTATATAGGGAGCGTTGCGGGGGCCTGCAGCGTCAGTGGCCTCCATGGTGCAGAGATTCACGTCATATCTGTGGTTGCCCCCTGGCGCTCATCGTTCACCCGGCCGCAACTGTGACCCGAAAGGAACTTTGTTTTTTTTCCATTGTCCATCTTGGCAAAATTTGATATTCAAGCTTAAAGTAAGTTTCCTCGTTACAGTTTCAACGGCCCTTCTCTTTAACAAAGTATGGGTATGCCCAAAACTCGGTTAGAGTTTCTTGCGGCCATACCTAAGTTTCTGCGTATGCTTTTATACACGCCTAGCGACCGCATGCGTCCGTTTTACATACGCAAACAAGAGGCGGCCTCCCAGAGTCTTACAAAGGAAACACGGAACCAAACGCTTAACTGTGGTCCCGCAGAGGCCCACGGAGTCTTCCCCATTGATGTGCGACGTTCTGGCGTCTACGGGGGGTGCGGCGCGGGCCCTTTGGCCTGCCGTTCTATTAAGTCTGTCCAGATAGGTTCCCGAGCACACCTGAAGATTGTTTTTCCCAACCATCCTGTGGTGTTGGGTCTTCGTCCTGAAGAGGCAGCGCCCCGCGTCCCTCACCTCCGGGCTTGCTGGTGTTCGTAGGCGCCCTTCAAGTGCTCGCAGGCGCCTTGCCGGTGCTCGCAGGCTTCGCGCAGGTTACCCACCCCGCCCAAGCGTTACCGTTATCAGGCCCCCTTCTTGGCAATGACCGCTACGCGTATATGGAAAAAAATGATATTCTGGGTTTGCAGAAGTCCAAGACCTCCCAGGAGCTTCATACCGGCCGCGATTGCCAGGAGGCAGCAAAGACATTGCACAGTGCTTGTTTGGATTGCCTGCGACCGTGCAAGGTGGACGCCACAAGTGCAGTCACGCTTGAGAGAGACACAACCAAGTAACGATCAGAATCGTCGTGAACACGAGCTCCGCGATGTTTTGCTCCTGGTTACCATCGTCAGCAAAACAATGATTCACCACCGTCTCACAGCGTCACGACGCACGTTCCCGCGACGGCCCTGGCTCCCGCAGGAGATTCGCGCCATAATCGGTCTAGGATACTGCGGTGCCGCATTCGTGCCCAGGGCTACCCAGAGGACCTTCGAGAGGTCGCCCCGGGGCTCTCCCAGGGCTGCCCAGTGGCTCCCACAAGCTTCCCGCGAGCCCCCTGTCGACCGACCCTCCGAGAAGCTTCACTGGAGTTTGCCTCCATTCCCCAGGGTTCACCAGGGCTTTCCAGAAGCTCCCCGCAGCATCCAGGTTGCTCCTGGCAGGGGCCCCACGGCCTCCCAGAAGATGTCCGTGGGGCCAGGTGCCCGCTCCGTCTTTGCACCTTGCCCGCTGTTCCATTCTCTTCCTCGTTGTCTCAATGCATCTTCCCAAAGCCCAGTGCGTTCGCCCCCACAGCACACCTACCTGTAAGGGACGATCCTGGGAGCGATGCGGTGCCAGAGGGAGCAGTGCCCGGAGCCGGTCCGCCCGAAGATCGAGACGACCCTCCTCGGATGTCTGGCAGGCCGCCCCCATCCGAGCAGCCAGCCCGGGGATTCACAGCCGCCTGCTTCGCCAGCCAGCCACGCCGAAGCCCGCCCGAGCGGGCCAGGAGTGTCGCAGGCGGCCCGGACGACGCCGCCCAGTACACCGCGTGCTCGCCCCAGGGTGCCGTCCTCGCCGCCGCCGCTGAGGCGCGAGGACGAGGAGCCCCCGTTGCTGCTGGGCCTGAAGCAGAACTGCTCGAAGCAAGTGCGCCTCGTTCTCGAGGCAGACCCAGAGGCGGCCCAGCTGCCGTTCTTGCAGCCTCGCTTCGAGTGGCCGCTCTGCGCCGCCATCCGGCTGGGCTGCAGCAAGGACATCGTCAGGCTGCTGACCGAGAACGGCGCGAAGGTCGACGTGGAGAACGTTGATGGGCAGTCCCCGCTTCAGCTTCTCAGCTCAAGGGCTGGGACCGATGTCATCAGCGCTCCTCTCGTCGACTTGCTGGAAATGCCTGGCTTCACGGAGTGGGCAGAGTGGATGCTCGAGTCCACCGCGCAGTACGAGCTGGACGTGGCCACGGCGCTGCTGATCGCGGGCGCGGATCCGGGGGCGTGCCACGGAGCCCCCCCTGGAGGACATTGCTCCAGCCTGGAGCTGGCCCAGCGCGCTGGGAAAGGTCATCTGGTCGGCCTGTACGGAGCCAGGGGCCACGTGCTAACGGTCTGACGCGATTCTAGATGTGAGCATGGGTTCAGCATGCATGTATCTCCGCTCTCCGCCCATGCAGAGTTTTTGCAGGAGTGGGCGCCGTCTGACCGTACCACTACACGTACCTGGTGGCGCTGCCGCGCATACCCGCCACGCTGCGCTGGCACAGGCACGGCCGTTGCCACGCCTGGTTGTCAATGGGCCTTGCCGGGGGCTGGGCCCGGGCCGCTTGGGGGGCTGGCTTGGGCCCAGTCTCGGGTCCACCTTGGAGGGGCCTTGGGCCGTCTTGGGGGCGTCTCGGCGGTGTCCTCCTGGGCGGGGGGCCTCCTGGCCGCTGGGGCGCCGCCTGGAGCACCAACCTGAGTGCATCCTGAGCCCGCCGCCCCCCTCCTCGCGACATTACGGCTCCTTCCTCTTCATAGCGTCTTTACCATTTGTTATTCTCAGCCTCCTCGATGGAGTCCGAGTAGATGGGGTCGAAGGATCGTGCAGCATCGCCGATGAATCGGCGATGCGGCTCGATGCGGAGCCCGACTTTCTCAATGCCGCTGTCGCCGACGTCGCCAGTACATCGCCGGTGCATCGCTGATGCATCGCTGATGCATCGCCGATATATTGGCGATGCGGCGCGATCCTCCGACCCCATTTGCTCCGACCCCATCTACTGGGTCTCTACTTACTCAGGTTCCCCTCTTTTCCACTTGCTGTCGCTGAGCTCATACATGCTGGCACGCTTGTTCCGTGAGCTCGGACACAGGATCGTGCAGGTGCCGCTCGTTTGCAAAGGCCTGTGCACAGGGGCATGGGCCAAAGTTCTTACGTGCAGCCGTAGCCTTTTGTGGAGCCACATCCTCTCGCGCTGGTTTTTCATGTTCGCGGGCCGATGGCCGCGCGGACGCCAGCCAGCACCATCCTGCTCGCCATCCGCTCAGTGTTTCAATCTTCGTTCTGTGTCCACCTCTCTCTATAAACAAAAAACGCCGCTCAGCTCGCACCCCCTTCTCCTTCCCAGACCCGCTTGCTCTGTCCGCTTTGAGCAAGGAATGTTCTTTGCAAAGGCACGTGCGCAGTCGCGTGTGCTCCAAATGTTAGTATTATGCAGTTGCAGCAGTTTCAAGAGGCACATCCTCTCGCGTTCGGCTTTCCTCTCCCTGGCGCGACAGCCATCTGGAGGCCATCCGGAGGCCATCTTGAACCCTACGACCGCATGCTGTATTCTTACACTTGGTCGCCGTTCCATCGTTCCATTTCGAGAGGCTTGCGCCATTCCGCCAACAACCCAAGAAGAGGACACATGCGGCTTCCGATGTCGTATGTGTTGTTTGCTGCTTTCCGTCGTGATGCCAGTGTGTATTTGCTGCTGATTCGTCCTTCTCTTCCGCCGCCTCTGCCTCGGGGCTTCTTGGGGACCTCTCGGAGCCTCGTGGGACGTCCTGGGGACATCTTACAAGCATGTCGGGGGTATTGGGGGCAATCTTTTGGTGGAGGGCGCCAGGGGCCCCTGCAAGTTCACCCCCCTCTCTCTTGGGCTGCTCTTCGGGTCCTCTTGAGGGTCTGGTCTTTGGGGGGCACCTTGGGCCATCTTGGGGCCCTCGTGGGCCATCGTTGGACCCTCTTGGGGGCTTCGTGGAGCTTCATGCGCTGGTTTGGGGGGGGCATCGCGGGCCGCCTAGGGCTTGCAGAAACCCGGCAGGGCAAGAACGCGATATTATTTAAACACCAAACAGGAGCTCTTGACTTGCGCCGCTTGAAGCTCTCTTGGGAGCCTCTGGGGGCGTCTTGAGGCCATCATGGAAGATGTGCTCTTGAAGCCTCTTGAGCCATCTTCGAATACATCTCGGGCATCTGAGAGATCACGTGTGGTCGATTTCGAGGCTGCGAGGGCCCCAGGGGTTGTGGGTTGACGAACTCGCGTCCTGCCCACCCTCATGCCCCCCAAACACAACCCTCTAACGGGGTGCTGGGCTCCAGGAAGGGGGAAATGTGGAGGGGGACAGCCAACCAATCATCTCACACGCCTTCTCACCCCCTGCAAGCGGGGGCCGCTGAATAATGGTCATCGCAGGTAACTCTTTTAGATTGCCGAGCCCTTTTCGTTTAGATCCCACCTGATGCTTGTACTCAGGCACGCTTGCTCAGCTAACTCGGAGCAGTGACCGTGCAGGAGCCCCTCGCTTGGAAAGCACGTGCACAGGGGCATGGGCCCACGCCTTCTGATGCAGTCGTTGCAGTTTCGGGGGGCGTATTCCCTCTGGCTGCGCTTTCTGTGATCGCCAAAATCTGTGTCCTCGGGCGTTTCCGCAACTCATCGCCGCCCGCTCGCCTTGCATCGTATAGTCCAGCCACCTTCCTTCACCTGCTGTTCTGGACTGCCGCAGTGTGTGCCGGATCGGCATCTCGAGCGCACGTAGGTCAGCCAATTAAGTATATGTTCTAGCGCTTGGGCTGGATGTATGGGTGTTGCCACGCGCAGTGCTGGTTTCCGATATTCATAAGTGTGCGTCCCTACAGGCTCTTGGCGATTAGCGATTCTGCCCGAATCCGAGTCTTGAGCACCAAGGGTGGTACGCTTTCCCAAGGACTTCAGCTCAGGCCACTCGCAGTGGAGCCGAATGGCATGGGACCCCTCTCAAAACCCTCCTGCCTCCAAGACTTCGGTCTGGCCATCTCTCCTCCTGCTCCTCCTCCTCCTCCTCCTAGCCGTTCTGGCTCAGGCAGTTGTGGCCTGAGCTTGCTGCCGCCGATTCTTCAGAGCGGCTGGGTGGCAGCGAGCCTTCTTTGGCACAGGGCCAAGCTCATCACGACCCCACTGATTGCAGGGCTCCTTGGCTTGTGTGGTTGTGTGATGGTTGCGCAGCGATGGCTAAGCAGCAACAGGACGGGGGAGAGCTCAGATCGTGGCGTTGCCGATATTGTTTCCACCCCCCGATGGGGGAGCGATTCTTCAATAAGCCGACGAAAGATAGTTGTTTCAAGTGTCAGCGCAGCAAAGGTGCATGTTTCCACAGCCGCGTTCCTCATGCCGATCCGTCCAAGCACGCCAAGGCAGGTCGTGGCGGCGCTAAGTCTGGCGGGAAACTCAAGCTTTGGGACCTCGCGGGCCCACTCAAGGAGGCTCAAGTGCAGATCAAGAGCTTGCTGGATGTAGCTGCCGTCAAGTCGAGCTGCACTAAAGATATTGAGTTGCCGAGGGACGTGGATTCGGCATCTGATGAGGAATCATTCGATGAAGGCAAGCTACGTTCACGTATTCATGAATTGGGCAAACAACTGGAGTTGGCAGGCAGGGCCTCTGGTGTACAATGGACACGCCCGCGCGAGTCGCTACAGGCAGAGGAAAAAGCCATCCGTGCGAAGACCAATCAGCACAAGCCAGTTTCAGTTCAGATGTTCACTGTCAATCGTCAGATGGCCACGGTGTCCTAACGTATCGAGAAGCTCAAACATCCCATCGAGCAGCAGCGCACGCACATGGCCGAGCTGCAGCAAACGTTTGACTTGTCGATCAAAGATCTCGCGGGGAAAGAGCAGATGTATGATAAGCTTCGTCAGAAGCATAATGAGTTGGCCAAGGCAGCCATCCATCCGCCTCAACAGGAGCATGCGCAGGATGGTGCTGGCACTATCGGTGCGCTCGGCCTTGATGTACAAGGATGGGGACGAATGCAAACAGCTCGGGGCAGGTGGGGCGCCCGCGCAGATGGCTGAGGAGATTGCCAAGGAGCTGCCGACCGTCGTCACCAACGCATTTCCAGGTGCTCGGCACGCACAGGGCTGCTGACACGGCAGCATCTGCACGGCACCAACAACATGAACAGCAATGACCAACGCCCAGTACGCCAGCTCAGGAGTTGCCGCCATCTCCCACAATTTTCAGCTCGGGATGCTGATCTCGGTAAGTAGCGAGAAAAGCTGGGGCAGGTTGGTATCGAGCACGCCGATGAAGCCAGTGAAGATGATGTGCGACAAACTGCACATTGATTGTACGCTTGGCGTTCAGGATATATGAGCAGATTTTGCCCATATTAGATTGGCGACCGCGACGACCCGAATCACGATCCTGAGCTTTGTTGTGAAGATGGCGGGTTCTACTCGAGGTCGCAGTGGTCGCAGTAATTGTCGGCGTGATGAAGGTGAGTTGCGACATGGGCAGCGCGCAGGTGTGTTGTCAGATAGTGGCGGTGCGGATGGTGGTGGGGGGCTAGAGAGTTGTCTCCAGGTTTCCAAGCACCCTGCCAAGCCAGCCCGCCAGTTCTAACCAAGCCGGTCACGCCTCCTTCCCACGCGGCGCAATGAAAATTAGTGGTCAGGATCAGTGCGAGGGAGGTCCAAAGGTCCGGTTGCTACTATCAGTGTAGACAGCGCTGGGCCGCGCCTGAAGTACAGGGGGGATAGCCGATCGGCTATTGTGATGCTTCGGGAGCGTAAGGGGGGTGATGCTGCGCTCACTGGCTTACAATATGCGCTGAAGGATCTCGGCTACCATGGCGTCTTCGCGCCAGCTACACGGACGACGCAGCATTGTATATCCTCTGGCGTTGCCGTGCTGGCACCCGCGGGCGTCGCGGCCACGCGGCTTCCACTGCCTGTCGATCCTGCGCTACATGAAGGGCGACTGGCATCAGCGAGGATTCGGGGGATGTCTGGCGGCTTAGTGGCTATATCAGCGTAGTCCAAGGGTTCAGTTGGTTTGGGTGAGTTCAAGAAATATTGTCTATTCTCTGGTGCATTACTTGGGTCGCCTCAGTGATATGGGCGCGCGTTGGGTTGTTGGAGGAGATTGGGAAATGGCGGCGGATGCTTTGATGGGCAGGCATGGCTGGATCAATTCGGGGCTGCACTTATCGCGCGCGCAGATTATTCGCCGCACTGCGAACTCCACGGACGACTCCACTTGCGATGATTAAGTGGCGTCAAACAAGACGGCGACCAAGTTGACGGCCACTCAGGTGGACATTGCGCCTGCGCTTCTTGTCGTGGTTCAAGGGCGCGGGGAATGCTGGGCGAGGATGCCCGGCGAGCCTGAGCAAGTTCCGAAAAAGGGTCCAACATCGGGCGCTCGCGACCGCAAGCGCCATGGAATGGCGCGCCTGATATAGTGCGTGATGTTGCGGATGAGCATGGCTCGCGACGCGCGTGGTGCGCGGTCGCGGCTGCGTTGGCGGTTGAGATATTCGGGCGAAATGATACTGTTGATGCGGAGGCTCAACCATGCCAGGGCCGCCGGGGGCCCGATGCGAACCGACGCGGTGGAACCCAAGTGGGACATCGAGCATCGCAGGTTATAGCATCGGCCACTTGCGCGAGCGTGGATCACGGCGGCTGGGCGGGCCAAGCGCATCGTGGGAGCACGGGCGCACAGGGCCGAGTTCACCCATCAATGTGACGATCTGCATGGGCTCCGGAAGACGAGCGGCTCATTTGTCCTGCGTGACTGCGCCTCTCCCTGGGCGGCCACATGCGCGGATGACTCACCTCGGGCTCACGGTCGGCAACGAGTCCGACGTCGACTCGGGCAGAAAGTGCAATCGACCGCGGTCACCATGGAGACACCCCACCGCAAACCTGCTCATCGGTTGACTTTCTCACTGCGAGACTTGGCGGGGTTCTTGCGGCGCATCCAGGTCGCCGCTCACGTTGCGCAGTTCATGGATGAATATTCGCGTGGTTTTTTTTGTTGATTGCCTGCGTGGGGCGCTCCAGGTTGGAAGGTATTGTTGTGGGGGTGGTTGAGTGCGCTGGCCATTCCACGCAGCTGCATCTGAGACTCAGCATGCACAAACGGCAGCAGCGGGTGCAATGGCGCTGGCAAGGCCCATCGCGCGTCACGGGCGCAGATTTTGCAGCTGACGCTTGCGCATATTGATCGCGCGCAGCCTTTCCAATTGGCAGATGGTGACGCGCGGAAGCGGCGACCGGCAGGGGCGCGTCGCGACGCGCAGCGCATGCAATTGCTCAGCGGCTATCAGCAGTGGGGGGAGCTGCCAGCCATCGAAGTGCAGGCGTTGCGCGATGCGACCCATATGTTTCCATGGGGCACGGCGGTGGTTTGCGCGCGGCTGCGCCCTTGTACCCCGCGGCATGTATCAGGCGTTGGGTTGGGCGTATTGTGCGCGCTACAGGTGGCGCTCGAGCGCCTTTTGGCACGTCCGTCGAACAGGATCGCGGTAATGTTGTCGAAACCTGGCGGTGCACCCGCCATGTCACTCGCGGAGAGCTCGGCGCTCGCGCGGTCGCGCGCGGCGCCCTATATCGCGCCCGCGTGCGCGCAGGCACTGCAGCATGCACATCAGGGGGGGCAGGGGGGAGATTCGCCGAGCCATTCGGCACAGGGGCATTTTTTACATGTTGAAATTGCGCATGAATTTGGCGATCAACAATATGTTTACATTGTTCTGGGTAGACATCTGGAAGGGCTTCGAGACTGCGCTGTGTCCTGCTTTCTCTTTCGGGAAGCATGAGCTAGGCAGTTTCCGCAGAGACTGATTTGGTTGTTTCTTGGGCTACATTTGCAGCCTAGGGCCACCAGGGCACGCGGCAGCTGGAGCATGCCCGCGGCACCGCGACAAGGTATCATGATTGGCTGCGCGCGCGTGACTACATTGCTTACCGTCCCTACGTATCGTGCTATTCATCGTGCGCATGTAAAACACATCAGCGTCATACCACGCGTACTCGTTGATGACAGCGCGTTTCAATGGATCGGCTCTGGCCCGCGAGAGGCAGGGAGCTACATCGTGCAGTTTTTTTTTCGCTGGAGGTGAGAGGGATTGGCCTACTGTTCAAGCCTGAGAAGTCGGGTTGGCTGGCCACCGCCGCTCAAGCTCTCAGCTAAGGAATGGATTTGAAGCCTCGGACATGAGATGTATTTGGTTTGACCTGTTCGGAAGCAGGCCCACGTTCGACTCGGCGAAATTCGCGATCGCGTGCCTCTGCCTCGGCTACGTATGCCAAAGAGATCTGCGGCGGGTCAGGTCAAGGCCTTGCGGCGCACTGGCCTTTTTCCTGCGGCTGGCCATGGAGTGGCAATGCTGGGGGCCAGTCCAGCTGAGTCCACGTAGATGCGACGCGTTGCTGCCATGCCGTGCGGACGTGCGTCTAGCTCGTCGTCGTTGACGTTATATTTCGCCGCGCAACGTGATCGACTAGACGGTCTTATTTATCATGCTACGATAGAACCAATCAGAGTTTATGCTAGCTTCGCACGGGGCCGACGGGTTTCGCTAGGTAAGAAAGATCGCGTTTCACGGGCGCTTGCCCTGGGAAAATTTGGCGGTGCGTTTTGAACCGGGGGGCGCCCCCCGCCCCCCAACACTTGGCGCCGTCGATCAAAACCAGGGGGGCCCCCTCCCCCCAAACTCCTCCCCCCCGACCCCCCCCTCCCCCGGCGCCGGCGCCTGCGCCGGCGCTGGCGGCCACCAGCACCGCCGACGGCGGGGGCGCAGCGACGGCCAGAGGCTGCCCTGGGGGAGGGGGGGAAGGGGTTTCAAACCCACCCCCCACCTCCCCCCTGGCGCCGGCGCTGGCGCCGTCGCTGGCGGCGGCCAGCAGCGTCGATTGCCACCGCTACCACCACCGCCACTACCACCACCGCCACCACCACAGCCACCACCACCACCAAGCCACCACACAGT